TGTCCTGGTGATGAGGGATGTCCTCATGAGTGGTATGTCCTGGTGACAGGGGACATCCCAGTTAGTGCCATGTCCTGATGACCAGGGATGTCCTGGCAAGCAGAGATTGTCCTGGTGACTGGGACATCCTAGTGAGTGGCATGTCCTGATAACCAGGGATGTCCTAGTGATCTGGGGACATCCCAATGAGTGGGATGTCCTGGTGTGTAGGGACGTCCTGATAAGCAAGATGTCCTGGTGACTTGAGGATAACTGGTGAGCAGGATGTCCTGGTGATCTGGGGATGTCCTGGCAAGTAGGGATGTCCTGGTAACTGGGGACAACCCAGTGGTGGGATGTCCCAGTGACCAGGGATGTCCTGTTGATGAGGGATGCCCTCATGAGTGGGATGTCCTGGCAAGAAGGGATGTCCTGGTGACTGGGGACATCCTGATAATCAAAATGTCCTGGTGATGAGGGATGTCCTCATGAGTGGTATGTCCTGGTGACAGGGGACATCCCAGTTAGTGCCATGTCCTGATGACCAGGGATGTCCTGGCAAGCAGAGATTGTCCTGGTGACTGGGACATCCTAGTGAGTGGCATGTCCTGATAACCAGGGATGTCCTAGTGATCTGGGGACATCCCAATGAGTGGGATGTCCTGGTGTGTAGGGACGTCCTGATAAGCAAGATGTCCTGGTGACTTGAGGATAACTGGTGAGCAGGATGTCCTGGTGATCTGGGGATGTCCTGGCAAGTAGGGATGTCCTGGTAACTGGGGACAACCCAGTGGTGGGATGTCCCAGTGACCAGGGATGTCCTGTTGATGAGGGATGCCCTCATGAGTGGGATGTCCTGGCAAGTAGGCATGTCCTGGTGTCTGGGGACATCCTGATAATCAAAATGTCCTGGTGATGAGGGATGTCCTGGTGACTGGGACATCCTAGTGAGTGGCATGTCCTGAAGACCAAGGATGTCCTGGTGACTGAGGACCTCCAGGCGAGTGGGGACATCCCGGTGACATCCCAGCGAGCTGTGCTGCCAGCTGCCTCCATTCCCCCCCCCGCAGGTGCGAGGCCCCGGCCTGGGTGTCGTTGGTGTCTCCAAAGGAGCAGAGGTAGCCCTGGCTATGGCCACCTTCCTCCCACAAGTGGTAGCCACGGTGTGGATCAACGGCACAGCTTCCCTCCACGGCAACCCTCTGGTCTACAAGGACCTCCACATCCCCCCCATCCCCTACCGCACCGAGCGCATCATCTTCACGGAGGTGGGAGCCTTGGACAACTCGGGCATCTTTGCAGACCCCCGGGACCCCACGTACAGCACCTCGGCCATCCCCACCGAGAAGATCCGGGGGAAGGTCCTCTTCGTGGTGGGAGAAGCTGACCGTAGCATGGACAGCAAGCTCTTTGCCAAGCTGGCCATGGCACGGATGTCACCAGAGAGTTGTCGCCTCCTCTCCTACCCCGGGGCTGGGCACTTGATTGAACCCCCCGGTTCCCCTCTCTGCAGCATCTCCAGCATCCGGGGAACCCCTCGCCCGGTGATGTGGGGGGGTGAAGCTCAACCTCATGCTAAAGCCCAGGAGCATTCGTGGCAGGAGATCATCCAGTTCTTGGAGCTTCACCTTGGTCCCACTGCCACCATGAAGCTGTGATGGCTGCGGGGATGAGGGGGGGGAGAGAAAAAGGGGTCAGGGCTTCCCCCAGGCACCTCACCCCCCCCAAAATAAAGTGCATCCTGCCACCCGGCACTGCCTGCTCATGGGATGGGGACACCAGGTAGGAGGTTGACCAGATTTTAGGTGGGGCTACAGCCCAACCCACCCTTTCACCATGAGCTCAGGTTCGGTGCCATGAGCTGGTGGCATCTAAGAGGGGTTTTCCCCTGGGAAGGGGGAGGATGTGTGGATTCCATGAGGTAAGAGGGGTTTTTAACCCCCCCAAAATGTTGAGGTTGGTACCTGGGTGGGAGGATGGTGAATGGGTGACTGGGCATGGTCACACCTGGCACGTGCCAGGGCAGGGTGCAGGAGCTGGATGTGACCGTCACACTGGCAAGGTGAGGGGGGGGTGACTCAACTTAGTCTGGAATCAAGAGAAAATCCAGAAGGGAAACTCCTGGTGAAGGAAGCAGGAGAGACCCAGGCAGCACCGTGCTCAGCAGCCACCTCAGGAGACCGAGGTCCTTCCTCCCCATCCCGAGATGCCATCAAAACTCTGCTGCAGCTTCTCCGTGTGTGACCACAGCTGGTTCCACGTCCCCCTTCCTGCGGGGACCTCGGGGAACCACATCCCAGGGGTCTGGTCACCGTGGCACATGGGTGCCCAGTGCAGCTGGTGGGACTGTGACCACCCTTGCTGGAGGGTGA